AACAAGAATGGGGAGGGAGGAAACGGGCAAGACGAAGCGGGAGGGGTGATGAAGGAGGATTGGGTGGATGAATGTCAAAAGAAAAGAAGAATAGTAGGGTAAGTAGGTACGTAGGAAAGGACTTTAAGCAGGCGTGCGTGTGCTCTACGACGAACGACGATCTGGTGATGAGGATGGTGATGAGGTGGTGGTATCGGGACTGGACTGGGCTGGACTGGTCTATCATCGTCAGGCGGCGACGGCCGGGGCGGCAGCGAGGCTGGGCTGCGGCTGGACGTCGACGTGGATTTGGATTGGGATGGAGGGTTGCGCCTGCGTCGTTGGTGCAGTGGACATGGGCGGCTGAGCCTGAGGAGCAGAAGCAGGGGTAGAGGTAGCAGTAGCAGTAGCAGTATCGGGAGGAGTAGCACTAGCACCAGGATTTGGATTTGGATTCGTATTCTGCGCTGGGTGGACCGAAAACGCGGGCATTGACTTTTGCGTCTCCTGCTGCTGCTGGACGGAGAACGTCGACTGCGGTCGCTGTTGCCCAACGAACATCGACTGCTGAACCTGAGGCGCCTGCTGGGGCTGGGGCTGCACCGTAAACGTCACCTGCTGACGCCCGCCATACGCCTGCCCCTGCGCGTTATTCCCCTGCGCCTGGAACGCGCTTGAGGGATAATACCCCTGCCCCGGCGCCGTGGAACGGTAGTAGGGCGACGGCTGCGCCCCTCCGGTGTTGTAGTACTGCGCCGTGGACGGGTAGTGCCCATGCCCCTGCCCGCCGGGGACGTGCTGCGCAGCTTGCGCGACCGCGGCGCTGGCGTTGGTGCTCGGACCGGCGGTCGAGCTATTGTTGGTCATCATGCTCATCCCGCTGTTGTTCGTGTTGGCATTGGCGGTCAGAGGAGCCCCGCCGTATGCGCCACTCTTGTACGGATTGGGATTCGGGGTGGTGGTGCCAGTGGTGGGGGGGCTGGCGCCGTTCGCTGGGGCAGCACCGCCGTACGTGCCGTTCTTGCCAGCGCCGTAGGAGCCGTACGCGCTGGACCAGTACATGCTGTATGGGTTCTGCGTTTGCATGGACGGGTTGTGCTGCTGGTTCGGAGCTTGAGCTTGGTGTGGCTGCTGCTGATGCTGCTGGCTCGACTGCTGATGCTGGGTCGGCGCGGGCGTCGACTGGTACGCGTACTGAGTCTGCGACGACGCAGTAGCCGAATTTACTTGCACCTCCTGCTGCTGTTGGTGTTGATGCGGATATTGGGCAGCTGCGCTCCCTTGTACTGGCTGCTGCTGTTGCGGCGGCGCGCGCGCGGGGAGGTGGATCGTATGCGAGTAGCGCGGCGCCGCTGCCGCCGACGAGGACGACGGCGGGAGGGTGTTCTGCTGCTGCGGGTACTGCGAGTGCGATTGCGCCACGTATCCTTGGCCTTGGGCACCGTACGGAGTAGACGCAGGGGAAGGGGGATAGGGCGCAATCGCACGTCCAGCACCACTGGGTCCCGCCGCGGCATTCACGTTCTGCGCTCGAACAATATTCTGGTTTGTGTCTGGGACTACTACACGTCGCCGTCAGCCCAACTCGCTTCGCAATGAAAAAAAAAGCAGACGTGGGACTTACCACCATACTCAATCTGCCCGACACCGAGCCCCAAGACGATGTTGGCCCACTTGACCTCGCGCACCTCGCCCGCGTCCCACAGGACCTCGACGGCGCAGCGGTCCTCGAGCACGCGCATGAGGGTGACCTCGAATACGCCGGAGGAGACGCGGATCTTGATGCGCGAGAGCGGCGGGAGGGCGAGGACGTCGGCGCGCAGGGACTCGGCTTTGGAGGCGCGTCGGGAGGCGACGATTACCTGTGCATGCGTTCGTGCGTTAGGATCACTCAGGTAAAAAAAGAGTGAAGAGGGAAGGACGCACAGGATTATGCTGCGCACAAAGCGCGTCGACCTCGGTCTTGCGGATGACTTTGAGGACGTGGAGGTTGGGCTCTGCTCCTCCACTCGAGGCGGGCGCAGGCTCCAACAACACCACCTCCTTCTCCACCTCGCGCACGACCTTATACGCGATCCCCGTACCCTCCTCCGCGCCTGCCTTTGCGCAGTTGATGTGGAAGGCCTTGGGGCACTTGCCCTTCGCGCATTGGATGAGGGCGCCGTGCGATTTGGCGCGCGGGGCGGTGCAGGTGGAGCATTTCTGCGTTTTCGTGCGTTAGTATTGAGATAGAATGGGGAAGAAAGACTAACCAAACTCCACCTCGCCCGCTCAATCCCATCCACGCCAAACACCACTCGTTCCGTATGCCCATCGCCCCCAACGACAACCTCGTCCACCCACGTCTCAGGCAACACCATCGCACACCCCTCGTGCGCCATCCACACGCCCTTCCCGCCCGCGCTGGGGGGGTAGTGCACCTCCGTCGCGACGCCGACCTCGCGCCACGCCAGCGGCAGGTCGTGCACGCGCAGGAGCCCCGTGTGCGAGGGCGCGATGCAGAGGCAGCAGGGGAAGGTCTGCGGCTGCGTGGCGACGGATATTTGGTAGGCGGGGGCGTGCGGGTGGTAGGATTGGCCGTGGTTGTGGGAGGAGGAGCCGGAAGCGTGAGAGTGGGAGGGGGGCCGGGGCCCAATCTTGAGCGTGATCTTGGGCGGGGCGGGTTGGTGGGAGGGGGGGACGTAGGCCGCGGTCGAGGTCGATGCGTGGACGTGGGTGTGGTGCGCGGAGGGAGTAGAAGTGGTCCTCACGCGCTTGGGCGCAGGGCCCTCGGGCTCGAACGGCGCGGTGGGCTTGCGCTTGCGCGGCGTTTGGCGGGGCTGGGTCGTGGAGGGCGTCATCGTCTTGGTCGGCGTGGACTTTGACTTTGCTTTGGAAGGTGAGGCGAGGGCGGGAGTGGGGTCTACGACGGGCATCTCGACGTCAAGGGTGGTGATGAGATTGCCTTCGCCTGCGGGGAGCAGACCATCGCGGAGGGCGCGGGCGTGGGCGGCGGCGGCGGGGTCGGTGAGCTCGAGGGCGTCGATGCGGCGGTCTTCGAGGAGCTGGTCGACGTCGATGCGGACACTGGGGTGTTTGATTAGTTTTGTTCGTAGAGTCGCGACGACTCCACCCACCTATAATCCACACACCCACACACCCCGGCCTTCCTCCCCTCGTCCAACCAGCTGTCCAGCGCAAAGTTAACGCTCTCCGCGCAGTTCAGGCCTGTCCACCATTAATCAGCAACAGACGGTACTAAGCAAGGAAACGACGCGCACCCAAATTAAACCCCGCATGATACCCCCTCGGAAACGTCACGACAAATTCGCCCGCATGCTGGACGAGGTGGTTGGGGCGGACGGCGGACTGGGAGAGGAGCGAGGGCGAGGCGAGGAAGGATTTGTGCCGCAGGAATTGGGGGCAGGAGGAGGTGTCGGTTGGGAAGTAGCCTGTGAGGGTGTTGTTAGCGAGGATTCTTGGGAAGCAAGTAGGGGTTGGGGGAAGGGAAGGGAGGGAGAGATGAGATGGCCGTGGGCGCAATGGACTGCCTGCGGCGCGGACAGGATAATAAACGAAAGACGCCACTCACCCCTCATCGTGCCCTCCAACGCGCCCGCCCGTCCTTGCGGGACGGCGTACCAAAACTTGGGTGCGCCGAAATGGATGTAGTTGATGGAGAAGAGGTCCATGTCTTCGACGTGCCAGGCAAAGGTGGCGCGCCACATGCCGAAGCTGCGAAGGGTGGTAATGAGTGAGCCAAATGAGAGTGGAAGGAGAAGGAAGGGAGCGTATGAGGAGGAAGGAAAGAGAGGAAGGAAACGTACTACAGATACGGCGTGTTGACACCGGGTAAACCACCGCTGCTTAGGGGCAGCAGGCGGGAGAGCGTGGAAGGGAGGGTGGCGACGTTCCAGGCGGTGGTGCTGGGAGTGAAGAGAGAGCCTGGGGATGCGTTAGTATATTGAGGGAGAAAGGGAGGGCCGACGCGGTCTGCGGTGCAGACAGGGCGCGCGCGCGCGACGCGACACAGTGAAATTGAAACTCGTGCACTCACCCATCGTATCAGCGCCATACCAAGCCGGCTTCCCCAATCCACAATTCCTCCAGAACGCACGCTCGAGCTTTGCGCAAAACTCGGGGGTATAGTCGGTGGCAACGGTATCGGGCGGGAGCCAATCTTTGTGGGGGGCGAACGAGTCGAGGAACGACGCGTCCTTGTCTGCGCGTTCTGTGCGGCGGTTGCGCTGCGGCTTCTTTGGGTTGGTGTCGGCGTCGTTTGGGTCGGCGTCTGCGTCAGCTGCGGGGGTGGTGGGCTTTGTGTCCTCTGGGTCGGGGGAGGCGCTATTCGGCGGCGAGGCCATTGCAGCATTGTCGGCTTCTGGGTCGGGCTTGGGCTTTGAAGGGGCTTTCTTGCGACGGGTGCGGAGAGCGGGCTGGGCGCTGGGGTTGTTGTGGAGGCCGACCTGGTCCTTGCCGGGTGCGCGGAACTCGGGCTTTGCGCAGAGCTCTGCCCACTCGCGGACGCTCATCTGCTTGCGCTTCTCCATGTTCTCCTGTCTGAACAGGCCGGCTCTGCCCCGCATGAACTGCTCGATGGGACTCTTTATCTTGACCGTTGCGAGCTGGGGGACGACGTCGGGGAGGGCGGCGGTCCATTCTTTCGGGGGGATTATCTTGACGATGCCCGAGCGGCGGCCCCAGGACTCGACGCGGGTCATGTACCCCTCAAAGTCGGCAAACTCGTGCATGCTGGGCTTGAAGACGGGGATCCCGCGGTGCGCCAGGGGGTCGTCGTCGGGCGACAGGAACGCTTTGCCCTCCGAGTCGGGCGACGGCGGCAGCAAGGAGGCGTCTGTCCCATAAAAGTGGTCCGGCTGCACTGGCGGCTCCGGCGACGACGACCGCGACGCCGTCAGCGGCGACGACACCGACGACATTGTGCAAAAACTATTCAGCCTTCCGTCGGCTCTCGAATCAGACTCTGGATTGCATCCAGTCACAGCCACCATCACCCCCACCAGACACGGTCACATCCACAAGGCACTGTGGCGGAGTGGTTAACGCGACAGATTCGAATTTCTTCACCATCTGTTCCAGTTTCTGGGCGCATGTTCGAATCATGCCAGTGTCGATTCTTTTTCGATCCCAAATGAGCAAAATTCATTAACACAAGTTGAAGAATATCATGGACGGTAAACCAGTTAACCGGGAAGTTGAACTAGACAGCCATGTTTAGTACCGTTGTGGCTTTTAAACCGCACAAGAGGGCTATGACCATCTACACCAGACTAGTTAGACACTCCGAGGTTGCTCCGAGGAGTGCCGGCTTTCCTAAAATGAGCTAGACCTTACAAGTTCCTTCATCCAACTCTGTAAGACACTTTGGCCGAGTGGTTAAGGCGATGCCCTGCTATTTGCTTAGCTAAGGCATTGGGGTTTCCCCGCGTGTGTTCGAATCGCACAGGTGTCGTATGTTTTGCATCTCTTGTTTTTGCAACCTTTTGTATTTTCGACTCCCGCAGTTCCCCTTCCTTTTGTCGCTATTCCTGTGCAGCAATTCTGCAGTAGTTTTCACTGGCCTTGGTACGGTACGGTACATTCACGGAATATTACTTCAATAATGCCGTCATAGTATTTTGCACTCTAACCCCTGTTCAATTAGCTTGTGGGAGAACTTCGGAGGGGAGTTACTGATCCTGGGAACTAGATTTGTCTGTTCTTCACAGCATAAGCTGCTGGCAGTTTTATCGGGGCAAGCTATGGCATCATTTATCGCCGTTTATTCCCATGGTTTGTGCTCGGTTCTAGGTCCAAGATCCAACTTTTTTTTGTTCCAGTCCTTACATCTTCCCCAACATACTAGACCATAGTATCTGGAGCATATTCACAATTTCTACTCCACAGTCATCACTATGGAGCCAAATAAGGTTGAATTTCACCTCAACTTAGGTTGAATAGTAGCTTTCAACCTAATTTTGGTGCACTTTAGGTTGATTTTGGGTTCAACCTAGACCGTAGATTCAAGTCACGGGTCACAGCGGTGGGTGAATTGAAGCTATTTGGTCACGGCTCGATACTGATGGCAGTGGAAGATCCTGGATACTAGATACTAGCGGAGTTTGAATCAGGTAAGCAGTACTTTTGATGTGCGCGGGTTCGAATTCAGGAGGATGCTTTTCATTTACCACCCCAAGAATGATGGACACATGTCCGGCCCGGTGGCCGGATATGTGTCCTTGTTTCTTTGTCTCCTCGATAACCATCTGCGCAGTCCTGTTACTACCCACTCCTGCTCTCTGGTGTTGCATTGCTTTGCTACCCAATTTTGGTTGCCCTGTACCTCATCTGCATACCAGAGCCTGCTAAGTTCTTTGCTCAGTGGGTGGCTGTATTTGGCATTTGGCGGTCGACAGTCTGACACGACACAACACAGTACTGGCCTGCCTCCATTAATCCACTGTGGGTTTATCTCAACTATCATCTGGAGGTGCCTCTACACCAGTATGGTTTCTCTCACATGAATTACTTTGTAGTCTTACTGTCAAAACACAGAGAAAATCACTTAACAAGTCGAAATGAGCCAAGAAACACCTTCAAGCTCCTCTCCAAGTGGAAACAATGACAATCCAGGCAACCTGTACGTGATAAATGAAATGTAAAATTTCATTTTGCCTTAGAAACTATAATCAGTAATTCAATTGTGTTATATCCAGGTCCGGGGGGAAGGGAGGTTATGGCCGGTCGATGATGGATGAGGGATTACGGCGACCGAGGTATTCCGGTTGGCTACCAGACACAACGGTGATACCAAGGGAGGAGGGTGGTCAACCGGAGTAACACAACGCCACAGAACAATAGGGCGAGTGTACTATCCAAGCCACCGGAGTGAGGAGGAAAGTGAGGGGAGGATTCCGGTTACGGGGAGACCAGAGTGTAAACCCAGAAGCAACTACAGAGCGCAGAAGCAACTTAATTATTAAACTGAAGAACAGGAGTGTAGTCTAGGGGTTTATATAGTACAGTACTTGTAATCTGAACATAAGGAGTTATATGAAATCCATGTGGAGATTCCTAACGGGATCACCTCATGTTGTTGAAGAACAAGGAAGTGTGAGAATGGAAGATATGAAGCATGTGGAAGGAAGTAGAGTCCATATGGTACGCACAGGATATACGAGGAACCATTCAGATAAGCCGCATTGCCTTGATAACGCTTCTCGGGGGATTCCGGAGACTCTGGAGACCCGGAGCTCCCGGAATCGCCTGAGAGGTCAGCGACCGTTCCGGAATGATATCCCGAAGGTGAGTTGCACGGATATAATAAATTGTGTCTCCGCCTGAGCCAGAAAAACACGGCCCCGGGCGTCCCAAGGGTTCAAAAAATAAGGCAAAAACTTCTGTTACTTCAATATCCACCCCAAAGCCTCGTGGGCGCCCTCGTGGAACTGGTACAAAGCAAAAGGCAGCACTTCTGGGCAAACCAATCTCAAAACGTCCGGTGGGCCGTCCTGCAAAGAATCCACCGGCTGAGCCCATGTGTTACATCCATGCACGGATAACTCGGACGAAGGTCCGAGTGCGGCCCAATGACTCCGTTCCGAGATTCACTCCCGAGTTTTCGGAGTATCGTGGGAGTCAGCACATCCATGCATTGATCCTTCGGACCTGCTTCGGACCTCGCTCCGAGCTGACCAATCACTCCGATTGAACTCCGACTCCGGATTACCCAATTCATCCCGAACATTATTGCGAGTCGGATTGCACACCATACACCATGTCCTGTGTCTCCTGTGATATCTCACGCATGGGACTCGCACTCCGAGCCTGCTGTCACACTCTGGTCACGCTCCGCTCCGCATCACGGAGCTGTCAGGAGTAACCACACGGGTTTGGATTCCGTGCTATGGCACCATCCAACTCGTTTAACAATGGTCCGACATGTTCCTGTCTTCTTACTTATTGTTCCAGTACTTCTTATCAGTCACATGACTTCTTCTCCTCCTTTTGGTACTCAGCTTTATTGTTGCGTCCACATCTTCTACTTACCTTTATTGTTACATCCACATGCTTCACTCTCTATCTCCTTTATGCATTACAATTAGCCTGTTTACTATTTAATCTCTTAGTCTACTACCTGTACTTCAGTTTGATTATTAAAGTTGCTTCACCCCGTTCCTCGTGAAGTAATCTGAGTCTCTGTCCGGAATCTCACTGCGGACCTCACCCGCTTACTCCTGTCCATCCGGACGAAGGGAAGTATGCTCACACTACGTCTCCCTGTTGTGTAGCGCTACTCCGGTCCCCCAGTTCTCTGTGCCCCGCGCTCCGACACTCCGGCGCTCCGCACTCCGACGCTCGGACGCTCCGGCGCTCCGATCACTCCGATCCGGAGCCCGGACCCATCGGACCCATCACACCTCTGGTCCGGACCACTCCCTTCATCCCTCTGTCTATCTCCGAAGACTAAGGCAGTACGCTCGCGCATGACCTGTCGCGTTGTGTCATCCAGCCCGCCGATCTTCATCATTCGACCCCGGTCTCTGGTTCCGTTCTGTCCGGCCCTTAGCTCCGGTTCGGAAGGTGTCTGATCGTTCGGTTGGCCCATATCCTAACCCCCTCGGCTCGGATATAACACCATGTCAGTACGCTTCAGAAGTGATGGTGAACGCCTGGTAAGTATTTGTTTTGTTTTGTTGGTCTCCTTCACTATTTTAACTTGTATAGATGGTTCGCAGAATGCCTGCTCCGCCTCCCCGCCAGTTTCGAGGAGTTGAGGTGGCCAACACCTCACATTTAATACCAAATGATGGAAGGACTTTATTTTCTTCTTTCTCCATGCCCAGGTTCTCTGCACCACACGAGCATCAATTAATTCCAGATAGTGGAAGTGTCACAAACATTGATGTCCCAGATGAAGAGGTTGACGATTACTCAGGTTTGCACAATGATGGAGTGGGAGATGATGATGATAGTGTCGACTCTCCCTCTGCAGCGGATGATGATCCTGATCAAACTGACCCAGGATTGATACCAGATGAAGAGGATTCCGAGTCTACCTCACCCAGAGCCAAATCAAATCGTGCTGCACACCCACTTCCAGGCTGGCTCCAAGGCCCATTTAATGTCCATGTTACAGCATCGGCCATTCACAGAAAAGATGGACTTCCACCACTCTATAGAGATGCAAAAACATTCTGGTTTCCTCGCTGTGATCCATTTTTCGCGATGCAAGCAATATCAACTTTAACACCAACCGACTTATTCATTCCTGATTTCTTTCTCTGGGATCCAGAATGCCTAGTCGATGGTGGAATTGGTTGCCCCTTGTGCGAGCATCGCCTCTACCGTCATGGCTCAGTCCCTTGTCCTCGCCGAATTGTTGATTATGACAAGTCATCTGGATAATTGGCTACAGATGTTGGTGCTCAAATTGTCGCCATCCCACTTCTGGCAAGCATACAGTGACCTTTCACAGCTGGGACTCCCGAATTCTAAAGGGGCTGCCACATTCTCTCGCATCATGCTTTCCTGCAATACTCAGTCATCACAGCGGAATCTCCGAGAGCCTGTTTATGTTTATGTGATCCTGCTTTCAAAGCGGCATGGGAGCAAAACAGTTTTCTGATGCCTTACAAGTTTGGCATCTAGAAACTTATGACAAGATGCAGCTCTCGTATCTATCCACAATTTCGCGAACCAAGGGCATCTCCCAGTGGCGGAGCCAAAAGCTCAAAAGTTTTCGACCCTTTGATGATAAATCCTCAGAGGGATACCATGGATTTGTTCCAAGCTCCCAATGGCTCCGTGATCTCTTTGACAACTTCATTGAGGAACATGGTCATGAGTTTGATCAACATACTGCACTGCTTGAGGGATTCATAAATGCCCTTGATCATAGCTTCAAGGTTTGTCTCGTTAGTTGCTGCATTTCCGGCTACTCAACAAATTTTAGCTTGCAAAGCACATTGCCAAAGTGAATGGCGAGCAGATCTTCATTGCTGTAAACCCGCTGACACGATTTTACTTACGATTACTGTCACACGGACTGTCACGTATTCTTTTCTTGTTTCCGTACCACCATCTGTACCTAGCTCGAGCCTCAGAATACACACCGATTCAAGATCTCTCTGTCCGACTTTCCTCTAGTGTTTTCTCATCTGGTTTCTCTCACGGGTACTAGGTGTGTTTCCACTTTTTTTGATCTTCCCATCGTTGTGTGCAAACGGGCGATCCACGGGGATCCTCGTTTTGCTTCCGTCCTATTGCCTCCGTCGCCCTCGCCAACCCCTTTAGGGACGCGAACGACATAAGCCACCCACCCACAACCCCAGACGACGGGCCTTGCGCTCACCACCGTCTCCTCTAGGCGCCACGTCACCGTGCACCGCCACCCACCCACCGCCCAAACTGTCCCGAAAACCGTCCACACCGGTCCCGCTGCTCACACGCAGCGCTGCGCAGTCGACCACC